GCTCAGGAATTCTGGGAGTTGAAGTCCACGAGTCATAAAAGAGCCAAGGTTGCCTACCCCTGGGCTAGTGAGTCTTCTTCTGGGCTGTTGCCACACTTGACTCCCTGGGGGTGGCCAGAGAATGGGTGACACAGGACCTTCCTTGGAACTGGGCTGGGTGGGCCCTGAGATAGGAGCTTGGCCACTTTAAACTGTTGTGTTGGAAGAAAGTTGGGATAGAAAGGTGGAAAACAGACCGTGGATCTTGTCCCTTTGCAGGTGTGAATCTCATTACGGCCTGCGATATTCGCTACTGCACGCAGGACGCTTGGTTCCAGGTGAAGGTGAGTTTGCCGCGGCACAGTTTTACTCTAGAAATGTCTACTTAATAAGCATCGGTGACGCTAACAAGGCACAGATAATATTCCCTTCCTTGCTCTCTCGTGCTGCTCATTTCTCACACACCCACCCACAACACGTGTGTTTATTCCAGGCCATAGGCTTGCCAGAGACAGGTTTGTACAAGTGAAAAAAAAAACAGCCAATTTTCTCCCTTTGGGCTGGCATTGCAAATTGCATCCCAGTATTTCAGGCCCAGGGTGGGTGTCCTGATATCCCAGCACCCATCTTGCTCTTTGGAATAAACCTCAGTGGGTGCCCCTGCCCGAACCCCCTTCTCCTTGCTCTCCTTTCTTCAGGAAGTGGACCTTGGACTGGCAGCCGACGTCGGCGCATTGCAGCGCTTGCCACGCATCATCGGGAATCGGAGGTGAGGGATTCGCTTCTTTTTGGCTCCGGCGTCCTTCCGGGTTTTGCCCGAAAGGAACCGCGCGGCTTCCCCTACTTTGGAAAGTGGCAGCTTGAATTTTTTCCCTGGTCTAAAGGAACCAGGCACATCCGGCCCGTGGTTTGCTCAAGACGAGCTGCATCTGAGACGTGGGCTGGCTCAGGAATTCTGGGAGCTGGAGCCCACAAGTCTTAAAAGTTGTCGAGGTTGCAGACCCCTGATCTGGGGGATTTTTCTGCCCACAAAAAACTGCCTGCTTGTGACTCGGGTCTCTCTTAACCCCCTCTTGATGTTCTCTCTCCAGCCTAGTGAACGAGTTGGCTTTCACTGGCAGAAAGCTTATGGCCCCGGAGGCGGAGAGCTGCGGCCTTGTCAGGTGGGTCTCGCTTGAAGCCGAGGATATGGGGGGCTGTGGTATCTTGTGTTTTCACTCAGAGAGCCCCCGATTTCACGTCTCGTTGGGGCAGGCAACTGGAAAACGTATCCTCAAATGGAATGCAATTGGTTAGCCTCCATCTTGTAAAAAACGGAGACCCTAAATCAGCGGTTCTCAACCTATGGGTCACGACCCCATTTGGGGTCGATCGACCATTTCACGGGGGTCGCCAAGCAAGGCTGTCCACCATTTTTTTTGTCCGCCATTTTTTTTTGTCCGCCATTTTTTTCCCCCTTTTCCGGCGGGTGCCTTACCTCCCTTGGGCTGGGCCAGCTGGTGGTCGGCCTGCTCCGTCTCTGCCGCTTGCCAGCTACGCCTCGGCCGGCGCAGGGGGCGGAACCACGCATGCGCGGCGCTCCCGGGCAGGGAAAGTCCTCGACTTACGACC